CCTTTGGATAAAAGCTTTAAACTTCATCTATTTCTGTGTCATAAAATAATCACACTTCTGGGAAGATGCATTCTGTACACTTTGCCTAGTGTAAACATTTTCGTTTTTCTGCCTGTCATAGAAACTTGTGTAGTAAAGTGGGTGGAGGGGCACAGTGAGCTGTGTTTCCACAATGTGTTAACTTTTAGCCCCTCAACTGAGATGTCTTTCCATCTTCCACTATTTCCTATTCTATCACATATAGAAAATGTTATTTCATGTTTGAAAAAGGACATCAAATAAATCTCCAAAAACAAATTAAAAAATCCTTTCCACTCAAATACCCATTACATATTTAATGTTTTGTATTGGACATTATCTATGTGGTCATAGACAATTGAGAAAGCTGGAGAAACTGTCTTACTGTAACTACACCCACTAATGAGCAAGTCAATTCTAAATCTTAAGTGGCATCAGTGATTTCTATGGGTGTGATGACTTGGCAATATGTACTTCCAAATATTTAATTTCCTATCTTCTTGCCCTAAAGTTTTAATAAATGTTGATGAAACAAGCAAAAATAGGCAGCTTACTATTTAAGAGACAACATGTGTATAGGATGTATAACATAGTATCACTACACAGAATGTTCTAAAACTAAAAATAGAAACTTGATCAACTATCTTTGGATTGTAGTGAGAAAAGCACAAGAGGTCAATCATGGCACAAAACGGCAGATTTTGGGCAAATCCAGAACCTGAATTAGAGACTTTGAGTATGAACTACAGAAAATACCTTTAAAATAAAAAAGCTATGCAAAAGCTGGAATAAAAAAAAAAAAACAAAACTTAGTGCCTGACCTAAAACTAAATCAGTGCAAGTTTTGAAGTATAAAGGAAGTCCAAAAAGGCTAATTCTAGCTGAGTAAGAGTTATAAAAATACTCAGCAAAATAAATTGTTTCTTCCTTTGGGAAACTCAGCACGAGAGAGTTAAACACAGAGTCACAGCTGGAGAACTTACATTTCCAATTACTAACATTTTTGTAGGAAATGCTATTGTCACATTATTTACACTCATTCTATCTAAAAAGTATGTTCCAATATCATTTTGCTTGGGTACACATAAAAGATGAGAGAACATCCTAAACAGTAACCTTTACCTTAATGTAATATTATAGGAACACTGTAAAATCTAGAGTTTTCAAAAAAAGAGAAAAATCCATTTTCAGGCTTAACAAAATGAACTTTTGTAAGTAACATGATTCTTTCCATTAAGTGACATATGTGGATCAATTCACCTTTGAATTTAGTAACCAAAAAAGATGGAGGAACATGCATCTTGCAAATGCATAGAGCACATCATATTGCCAGGTGGCCGCTACAACACTAAGGATGCAGATGGAATCTAGATGAGGCTGGGCAGAAAGAAGTCGAGAGAAGGTATAGAAAGTAGAAGCAGGATGGAAGCAGATTCTTAAAGAACAATGGGATGCCATGTTTAGGAGAGCACAGAGCATTCTTGATAGTAACTTATTTCCATAACAAAATAATTCAATAAAAGAACTAAGGCATTTTTCAGAACTCTATAGTTTGAATTGTTACGTTGACTCATGACAGTCACCAGATACTTGAATGCCTCTTACATAGTTCACATGATGTTGGGAACAGAACAAATATACTCACTGTATCCCCAGCCTCCAAGGTTTCATTTGTGTAGTAGGAGATAGATGTGGTACCCCATTTTGCTACTTAGTGTTAACACAGCAACTCAAACTTGTGAAGGCCAGGTAGCCTGGCTTCAGAATCTGAGTTTGTCTCCTAGAACTGTACGATTGGGGTCAAGGTCCTTAGACTTTGGTACTTCAGTTTTGTTATCTGTAAAAAAGTACTGAAGAAAGTATAATCCTATGAAAGTGTTATACACAAAGGTTTTCACAGTGTCTGGCAATGACTACTGTTCTGGATATGGTGGTGTGCATGGTATGCTGTAGAGAGGGGTGAGACCAAGTTCGGGATAAACAGAAAGGTAAAAAGGCTTTCCAGTTGAGATGAAATTTAAATGGATTTTCATAGGAGTCCCTTAGAACTGTTATAGGTGTGTAATGTTGAAGCCGTATATATGGTACAGCATGGACAGACACAAGGAAGAAGTCATGGATGATGAGTGTAATTGTGATAAGGGGTTTTAGACTTTAATCCTAAAGACTGTCTTAAATATTTTGTTCTCACACATTCTGGTTATCGCATTCTTGGTTTTTCCGCAGTAGTTCTCCCTCTTCAGCCATTAATACCTCTTTCCTTCTATGTTTGGTTACAAGATAAATGATGCTTAATTAAACATGTAACTGGTCATAGTTATGCACAACAACCTGCACAGGTCCTTCTCCTGCACTGTCTAGTGACAAGCACACATTTCCCTCTTACTAGATGATTGTTTTAGTAAGACCTGTTATTCCCATCTGCTTCTCTTTGTTGTGGCTCAAGTACTTTCCTCTTTGGAGTTTTATTCTTTCCCAATCATTTTAAATTACTTTAAGGTTCACCTTTGAACATCATAAAGAAATTTTGTTTGATCAAACAACACACCATGTTAGTAGACTTCTAGCACCACTGTGTCTTGGTACTGAGTTTCACAGTCACACACTTTAGATTGCCTTTCTTCTCCCTTATGTCTACACATTGCTCATGCCTTCCAGGTATGACTTTCCAGTGAAAGCATATCTATAGTATCTTGCATACTAACAAAAGATTGTTGGATGAATATATTATGTGTAAAAATATTTCTTAATACAACCTCCTTAAGAACTTGCCAAGATTATTATGTGTAAATTCCATACAATTTTAAAAATTAGTGACTTGTCCTTTGCAGATTACTTTGGGAAAGAATGACTGTGGTTTGTTTTTTACTGGAGTGTATACAGTTCACATAGATAAGTGAAACATTCTAAAAGAGGTGTTGAAATACTTTCAATTTAATACTTTTTAAATTTGTGGTTCCATTATAAAATGTGAAAACAGGAATATCTTAGCATAAATTCCTGGACATTAGAGACAGGAAAACTATTCTATACCTGTTGTGGACCAGTCATTACAAAACTGCTAACTTCACATAAAATACATCATTAAAATTTTCTAATGTTTCTTTCCAAGAGAAATAATAAACATGATGGCTCTTTTATAGCCAAATATCTCCAAGGCTCAAAAAGTTTTAAAAACTTTTGAATTCCGACAGTCAAGTAATGATTTGACACTTCAAATGCAGGTCAAAATGCTTGAGAAGTTATTTCAGCATCATTGTTAGTATTTAGAAATAGGTAAAATAACTTCACAGTTGTGGACATGTAACAAATTTTCTTGGCCTCAGCTCCTCCAAGTTTGCCTTCAATTATATCTAAAACTCTTATGATGAAATGCTTGTGAATGTGTGAAGAAATCTCATGGCAGAGTCAGGTGTGGAAGTTGTATATTTTGGTGACAGCATGAATATACAATTATAGTGGTAGAATTATGAACTTTTTTTTTTATCTCCCTGTTGATGAGTTAAATATTGATTACAAAGTTATAAAACCTCAGAACTTATATGATGCGCTCTTTAGCTTGGGTTAAAGTATGAGTTGCCATTGCTACAATACCTTTTTATATTCTTCTCTAGATAAATATGCATGTTAGAGGAGACTTCTAGAATCAAGAAATCATTTGAGGCAATCAATTGCCCTTAAAGTAAAAATAGCTAATGTCAAATATATACAATATTTCAGAGACCAGAAAGCCATTACTAAACCTACTGGATTAACCAAGTCTCTAACTTCAAAATTATGCATCAAAATTTATCACACACAAAAAAGGTCTGGAATTACATTCATGGTAAAGAAATTCAAATTAACAATCAGTAAATTGTCTTTTATGTCATAAGGGACCTAATTAAAATGATTGTATTCATGGGTAAATCAGAACTAACTTGAATCTATAACCTGTAGTGAACTGAATATAGAGAAATGCAAATATATAGATATTTTGATCATAAGCTAAAACCTTTTTTCCCCACAATTTTTCTAGCTTTTACTTTGTTTAAAAAAGTAAAAATGAGGTCAGTGCTAATAACTGAGTAGTTTACCCTCCAACAGTCACCATGAAAACTAGTTAGATTGTCCTCTACTTAAGATTCTGAATACATTGTCACAGAACTTGGTTAGATGAAAATCTTTATCAAGCCATTATTATGATAGACACTCCAAGGCACAAACTGTCATTATGTTTGAGAAGGACATTTTGATACATTAATTGATACCCTCAGGATTCAGATCTGGCTTTTAGGACATTTTAATTAAAATTTACCATTGTAAAAAGTCTCCAAGAAGAGAGAAAATGAACTCCAACTTATTTGAAAATATGACACAAGCATAAATGAAAGACTAAGAAATACCACAGAAGCTGAAAAAATGATAATCTATTTTACACACCTTTTACAAGGGACTATCATAAAAAGTCAGTGTTCTCTGGGCTGCTCTAAGTAAAAAAAAAAAAAAAAATCTAACGAGTAGAAAACAGAATGGGCACCATGCTTACAACAAGGAAGGCCAACACATCTTCTTAATATGTAGCACCTGTATTTCCAACCACTATAATTCTAGACTATAGATAAATGAATTCAAATACAGACTAGAAAATCACACACACACAAATCTCAGATTTAAACACTCACTTATTAAATAGCCTATAATCAACAGCCTATAACCAAATTTGCTTCCCTTAGAAAATATATTTTGAAGTAACACAGAAGAAACATTTAAGGACAAAACCGAAAGATGTTAAGCATGCCCCAAACACTTGTGAAGGGAAAGGTTATCTGGAAACCCCACAAGTTAATTGGTTGTTTTTTTGACCATCATGATACTGAAGCTAATTGGGATCAGGTAGCTATAAATTAAAGGGAATGCAAAAAGGTTGTCTATTATTAAACTTAGTATATCAATTTACCAATTTTGTGGTGTGAAATGTCAGTATTGAGGGTGACTCATACCTTAAATTCCTCCAAGATTTTGTAATTTTTTCCATGATATTCACAAAAGTTTTTCACTTCTTTGCACTCAGGACAGCATCCATTGTGTTCTACTTTAGTACACTTTGGGTGAATTTTAGGGCATTCTGGCTGGTCACAAACAGGTCCATCCAAAGCACAGACACATGGGCAGTTGGAATGCCCTGGGAAAAATCGTTCTCCCAACTTGTACACAAAGCCACTGTCATCCACACACCCTTTCCCTCGATAGTCATCAAAGATCAGATTATCATTACTGGAGGTCTGGTCACTTTCATCAGCAGGATAGTCTTCATGACTGATGGCAGCAGAGGTGACCAATCCAGGGATGACCAATAGAAGTATGCAAGCTTCATGAATATGGAGAGCCATTCCTCTCCTCAAAGGCTTCTGGATGTGCTCCTAATATTAAATATGTTCAGCTCCTTCCATGGGAATAAGAGGAGTACACTGGAAAAAAATAAGAAAAAAAGTAAAATACAGTGAATATAGACTCATATAAACCCATGCCCTTGATCTGTTTTGGGACCTATTTGGAAGATATTAGGATGTTGAATAGGTTAACTTCATGTAACAATGCATACTTTATTATGAAGTTTAAGAGCTGGTTCTTGGTAACATATTCATTAAAATTTGTTTGAGTTATATCATTTAGGAACTGGCAGCTTGAATTTACATTCTAAATTTCAAAGAGCCTTCTGCAAATTGAAAGGAGTGGTTTTGCTGAGCCTCAGAAGGTGATTCTAAGTAATTATAAGTTCCATAGGAAATTCACATTTTCTTTAAATTGGAATATTATATAACAATCTGTATGAAAACTCAAGTGATTGGTGAGAAAAACTACTTCTAGGAGAAAGAGAAGAATAGTTGAATGTAAATTTTGATTGGGATGGAGATAGTATAAAGAGCTTTCTATTTATATATGTCTATAACTGGAACACAACCATGCAGGCCACATGGGTTACTTGTCTTTTTGAATATGAATCTAGATTTTGAAACTTATCTAAGAAAAAAAATTACTATTCCACAGAGCAAGAAAATTAAAATAAAAGAGAACTCCATTTATTGAAAGGTTTTCATTATTATCCACATTGTTATTTTACTCAGGAAGTAAGCTCCTAGTGGGCAGGAAAGCTGTATCTGAATTTTTTAACAGCAACTAGTTTTCATGTAACACTTGAATGCACCATACCAATATAAGTGCCATTCATAGTAAGATAAGTGCCATTTATAGTCTTGAAAACATGTCCCCTTTGGAATGCCAAAAATATTAACACTTGGGAAACTACATCAAAAAATGCTAGTGTAAAACTATTGAAATTTCTTAAAATGGTAATGAGATATTGCCATTCATAGAAAATACACTATTGATTTGGTGGTACTGATTCTTGCAAACTTCACTCAGTATTAGTGTGTGGTGTGGAGTGTTGGTAGTGGGCTCTTTGTTTAGAGTTACTAATTCATACAACAGCGCAGGGGGGAACTGACTTGGAGTGACAGATAAGGAAAAGTACTATCAAATAGTTAATTTGTCTACTTAAAATGCTAGTGGCTTTTTTTTTCAATATTGCTAAGATTGTATATAGGGCATTTTCAGACTAGTTATACATGTTAACCCTTAGTTTATTTTTAGATAATAAAGGCATAAGTTGCCTCTTTTCTGTGTAACATATGATTTCAAATAAGATGAAGTGTCATTAGGAAACTTGATTATGAACTACTATATTTGCATTTTAAGTTATACAAATTCTAGTAATAGTAAAATGGAAAGTAGTCTATTCATGCCCTCCTTCAGTAGAAAGCTGCTGTCTGATATTAGAATTCCCTTTGGGTAGGTAATGATAAAGGAGATTGATTTCTTTTAAAATATGTCAAAAATAATGAGTCATGACAGAACAAAAAATGCAAACCTGTAATTCTACTCGAGAAACTGGAAGCTTCCTTGACAAAGCATTTTTTATCACTTGAATTACTACAGAAGCCACAAACATAACAGAAGCTTCTGAAAAAGCATAAATATATTGTACTAATTAAGACATATATTATAGATTTCTCATGTATTTAGGAAGTTTATCTTGGTAGAAAGGAGCTATTGTGCTTCCTGATAGTATTCCAGAAGTATCTGTCAATACATGTAGAAAATGCTATACAAAATACACATATCATTTTGCTTCAGAAGAAAGAATGATCTTTTTACAGGCTACAGGTAGGTATTAATGTTAACAGGCTATTGTAAATATAAAGTTAAAGGTGAAAAAGAGGTATTCTATCTACTTTAACATTAGACTTTTTTTTTACATTAAAAACATTTTAAAATCTGCATGGAGCACAAGCTTTTTGAAAAGATAATAAAGTTCTTATGCTTTTTAAAAAAATTCCCCTTCATAATTAAGCTACTCTAGTACAGTTTAAGATACTATTTGAGAAGAAACATTGGAGAAAATTAAATCTGTACCTGAAGATTTTAAATAAGTGACAAACATCACTAAACTGAGGATCACTTCTCAGCTAAACTTTCCCCCCTCCTCATATTGCTACATATGATTTAAAATGACTGCATCCATTCAGGAAAACAAACATAACTTATGTCATAAGATACACTTACCTAATCACCCTGGAGGTTAATGGTGGTGGTGGGGGTCACAGAACAATACGAACTAAAATATCCAGGTATGTTTTAGGAAAGCAGCTCCTCTTCAGTTTTCCAAAGAATACATTTTCAGGCGTGAATTAAAGATAATCCATTCTACCTCCCATTTCAAAACACAGTCAAGAAGCAGACTCCCTCCCTTCCAGAGAGAAGCACAGCAGACACACATAAGAAATAGGCTTTGGACCTGTCTTCAGAATTCAAAGCAATGCTGGTCCTGTAGAAATCCAGACCCCAGTAGCAGAATCATGTTGAACTTATTTTTAGAATTTTCTCAGATCCTTCTATGAAATTTCCCAGCTGATTACGCCTCCTCCACACATGAGTTCACTTACACAGTGTTTGCTACGGCAGTAGAGGTGATTTGGCTAGGCTCTGAGGATCACAAACAGCAACAGCATGCTGTAGCTTAAAGCCCACTCCGCTGGCAATACTATTAGCATCATCCACACTATGTTGCTTGAATCCCCTCTTACACACCAGAAAATACTAACTGTGGACGTGAAGGAAAGGAGCAACTTTAGCTGGGTTTCTGCATCACTGAGAGCAGTTTGCAGACTGCTGATTTGGAGCTGATTCTGCCGGCAGCCGGGAATTCCTCAGCACCACGGACAGCGCCAACAACTGGCTTCTAAACCCAGCTCTGTTGAAATATCGGAGCTGCTTTAGACCAGGCTAGAGTGTTCTCTAAGCAATAGCACTTCATACAGAAGATACTTCTATTAAAAGGAAGAACGCGCTGTACGTGCAAAATGCTTACTTGTATTGAAATTAAGATAACAAATAAAACATTGTAATTATAACACCTTCTTGGAAGGACAGCAAAGATGAAAGTTCCAGAAGAGCCTTGCTTTTAGATTTAAATCACTTGCAGTTTCCGATTATTATTAATAGAGAAAACATAACCAGTGTCAGAGAAACTGAAAATCTGTATTCCTGATTCTATTTGACCCTTTGTTTTAACAAAGACTTGTCCCATACTACATGATTAACTTCAGGTCTTACTGCAGCTTGGATTTGATTTAAAAAAAAAAAAAAAAAAGTAGCTGGGTCCTCCTGCAGTTTGTTCCCTAACATTCAAAATCAATCTCCTGTAATTCATCTAGTCTGTCATTAGGCGTCATTGTAAAGCTGTTTCTTCCAAACCTCTACCAAAGATGCTGTTTCTAAATTTTTATCAAAATGAGAAAGAAAAAAGACCCAGACACAAATGAGCAGAAAGTTTTTTTTTTTTAATTGGCAACAATATAAGTCCTAAAACATATGTCCAAATCCTGCTAAAGAACAAATTGTTAGCTGCTGGCATATTTAACCAGATATTCATTGGTTTGAGACTATGAGAGGCATTTCTTCCAAGCCTTAAAAGGAATGCCCTCTGCAGTGGGATATACCGATGGTCAAGACCATGTTCGAACAGTGCCGTCAGAGCCTCCAGAAAACAGACTCTCTCCATCATGAGAAAAAACGACTGTGTGTGCCTCACTCTCATGGCCCATCAATTTGTGAATCTTCCCGGATTTAAGATCCAGCAAATGTATAACCCCATTGCAGCTTGCCTGAGCTAAAACTCGACCTAGGGCAGAACAGGAAAAAGGGGCAGGGGAAAAAAGAGATAAGAATCAGCTTAATTTCAAGGAGTCATTTTATAAGAAATGGAATCATCTGTTTCAACTCTACTTCAACAGATCTATATTACTTTTTAGTCATTAAAGTCCTGTTTGTATACAAAGTAATTTGAGGCAAAATTAAGACATAGATAACTACAAAATTTTTAAAATGAAGTAAAGCCTAATGCTTTGCCTGCTTTATTTGCAGATATCACAAATGCCTCAGTAGTCTCCTGACACTGGTGATTATTAATTTTAAGATTGGAAACAACTAAGCAAAATTTTTGAAATGGGTATTTTATGTTAAAATTATGTATATCATTATCATTAATGTATTATACACATTTATGCTTAAAATGTGTAATCATGAACTCAATCTTATTTTTTGGGGAGTTAAAGTGAAAAAAATCTCTAAAGATGACTTAGGTTTTCTTACTCTAATTTAAAATTCAAAATTCTGTTAAACTAAGGTTTAGTTACATAAGAGTGCTAAATACAGCACAGACTATTCTCATAATTTTTAAACCACATATTTGGATGAATAATTTCCTGAAGGTAAAAAACAAATCTGCAACCCAATTCTGACTAATACTTTTATTAAAGAGTTACATAGTAGCAAACACATAATTTAGAATTAAAGCAGATTATGTTCATATAAACTTAATAAATGTAATGTTAGTAGTACACACAGAATTATCTAATTCTACCTAGAAGGCATAATATTGTTCTAGGAACAGCATTTCAAAACTGAACAAACAAGCTAGATCCTAGATTTGATACCTAATACGTATAGTTCTATATAATATTGAGGATAGTCTAATGACACAGGAAAACACTACACCATTATATCTGTGAAGTAAAAGAAGCTTGCAGATGCTGAAAATGGAGGGAGCTAGCATTTAAGCACAAGCACTGTGAATCCAGAGGCTAGTTTTTTTTTTTTTTTTTTTTTTTTTTTTTACATCCAGCATAGTAGTGTTATCAGTGATGCCTTGCAGATTGTAAGTAGTTGATATGTGGTAAAAGTACAATTTATTCATTTCATTATATCTATGATAACATCATAAAGTCACAGTGAAATATAATCACAAATTATAACTCCGATTGTCCCAGCTAGCTCTAAAACAAGTTATAAAAGTAAAGTTAACCATGATAAATATGGCTTATTTGCAAACCTTTCTAACTACTGGGCTTCTTCATCTAGAACAAAGCCTGACACAGCAAAGATTCTAGGATGGATTAGAGTGTCCAAAGCAGCAGATGTGAATATTTATTATAAACCTTCTACTAAGTCTTTGCTGACAGAGGCATTACATATGGATTTCACTTCCAAACTCATTCTATAGGTAATTGCTGTTGTGACTTCCCTAGGAATCAAATAACTTTTTTCTTGTATTCTTCATACAACAGCTAGAAGGGGAACAAAGATTTTCTATTTGTGAAGCCAAAATAATTCAAAAAAGACTTAAACTCTAAACTATTGTCTTTATCAAAGTGAAATCTGTAAAAATTGTAATTGGAAATATATATGAAGATACTTATATTCTGAAAGTTCCTTCAATAAGTTATTATATTTTCCTATACTATAGAGAACATTATAGTAAAAGAATGTGATGCTAGGATTATATAATTCAGGAACAGCTTTCTTTAGGTGCTTCAAAAATTTGTCTTTGCTAGAAAACATCTGAGTCAGCAAGATTATAGTGAAGTTTTTCAGGTTTACTTGAAAATTGCAAGACTGGATGGGATATCTGCATAATTCCTGAATCTACACACAACTTACCCTAAAGAAAAATTATGTTTATACTCTAAAATTTATAAATTCTAAAAAATATCAATTCCTGACAGGGATATACATTTAAAGCTATGTTAAAATTTAAAGTATGCTGGGTATTACATGGCATGCATAGATTGCATTTTTAAAACTGGAGTATTCATCAACATGTGTTGTATATCTTTTTAAATTTCCTAATGATTGGGAATGAATAATAAATTATAGTACTAATAGTTCACCATATTAATGTTACAATCTTATATACAAATTTAGGAAGATTCATCTACATAAAAATTGATCAATGGAATAAAAATATGGCAGAAACAATTTTACATATCTATGTAAAACATTAAATATTTAATTAGAATTCATAATCAAGAATTTTCTTGTAACATATTCCTGAGTAATTATACTTTGGTACAATTACAATTGTTAAAATCCTATGCTAACCAACATAAATGTAGATATTCTTTGTATGTCACCTGCATTGAAAGTATAGTTAAAAATCAGAAATATTTTAATATTGATTGAAAAAATAAAAATAGTGAGACTGTTTCATGAGCACGTATTATGTAAAAAAATGACTTGCTTCTTTTCAGTCCACTGAGAACATTGATTTAGCTTTGTAATTTCTATTCTTTCATATAAATAGCTCACTATATATCAGCAGTTATTATTTCTTCATTCACATGTTTCTGAAAAGTTAGTACTTATATGAAGAATGTCAATACTTTGTTGGTTAAATCACTTATTTTGTTGACCAGTGAGGATGACATGTGTAACTATCCATTTTAACCTACTAGGTGAATTTATCAACTTCATTTGACTTTCAAAAGTATTTCTCTGTCATTAAATAAATTAACCAAACTTTAAAAGTTAGGTCTTTTAAATTTCAGCTCCAAATAGACTTATAGATTTCTTAAAAATCTGTAAGCTCCTTTATATATATTTTAAGGAAAAAAATTAGTCTAATTAAGTTAAGCAGAACAGTTACATGCTTATTGCATGAGGGGTGTGTAGTGTAATATGAATTAATTTAAAGACCTTTATGATTTTTTTTTTTTAAGTAGAAAGGAGCCGAGGCAATGTCTTTCTTCTAGGGAGACTGGAATAAACTGATAAAAGATCAATTGAATAGCTAGAGTTGTGTTCTACATTCAACTCAAAAGTAAATGTTCTCTCCATTTCAGCTATGAAGAATGAAATGAGAAGGTAAAGCTGAAATTTGAATCAAATTTATATTAAAAAAACTTGCTTCATTTACTGGCTTTAGTTTCTTTTATTTACTGGCTTTAGTTTCTTTTATAAGACAAGGCTCAGGTAAATAATAGTTTGGAGTTTCTTGTATGTGTGTGTATATATATACATATGTATATATTTATATATGCATGTATACACATATATGTGTACAGTATATATATATATATGTACACACACATATCAATTAATTATTACGTATTCTCGTGCATTCTCGTGCATCCATTGTATATTCTAAAAGTCATACTTAACTGACAACTCATAAAAAGGCTCGTAATTTTAGTAGCACTCTGGTAAGGGATGTATTATCTCCACAGTTCTGTTGTACTTTTTGACTATTCTCATTTTTCCAAACTTCAGTGACAATACTTTATTTTCAACAATTATGTCCTTTTTTGGTTAGAGATAGATTTAAAATAAAGAAATTCTATGAATTCCTAAGGTGTTTCTACAGCATTTCTCGACTTTTGTCACTTCCATCCTAAAAGAGCAAAATCTTGAATAAGAAAAAAACATCAGTAGTATAACTTTGAAATTCTCAGGTTTGGTTTTGTTTTAGATCCAACCATCTCATTTCATAAACAAAGAATCTGAGAGAAAGTGGCTTGCCCAGGGGAAAAAAAAATACATATATATATATACACGGTAGCTGTGGAATTTGAAATCAGATCTTTGTTCCCCAAATCACTGTTATTTAGTTATTCCTTTGAACAATGAGTAGCGGTCCTACTATATTAATCTTTCACCCAATATACTCTTTCATGAACTCTCATATTCTCTACCAAGTAATTTGCCATTATTTCTTGAGTATGTTTGACCTTGTCACCTTTGTTATCTTTGACCATATGTTCCTAATAAAAGTCAACCAATTACATAGCAGTTTAGCATTACTTATTCTATCAAGTTTGTATAAGGCCTTTCAGATGTTAGTCATTTGAAATCTCCATTTTATTCAGACCATTCATGTGGTAACAAGATACATATTATATTTAATTATGTATTTGTCTTACAGCCTTACCTTCCAAACAGAGAATGATTGTAATTACTCTGCACTGGGGAATAGATTTTTGGATTTTTGCTTCCCCCCAACCCCAACCTAGCATATAGGCTATCATGTTAATACTCAGTAGTGATACAAAGAATTTTCCCAACACTGGGCCTCTGTGGTGGTGCAAATGTTAAAGTCTCAGTACTATCAAGCTATTACATGAGATTTGACCTCAGGTCAGGGAGCTGACCCACAGGGCATTAACAGACCTCTCCTGTCTTGCCCACTCCTCCCTGAAGCAGTGTATTTCATCAGATATACCACTTCTGCTCTCAACTCTGGCTCTGGTGAGTCCTCTCACGCCAACCTCTAGCCTATACCTCAGTTCTTATACTCATAAATTAAAAATTTTTTTCACAACTACCTCTGCTAGTGCTTATTAATGATCATATGCTTTTCAGACATTATTTTAAGTTTATAGCCAGTAGTCCTTGGAACAACCCTAGAGGGTCAGCATATAGCCCTGGCCATGTTGGCTGCTGTGCTCACATGAAGCACTTGAAATGCAGACAATTGAAATTTGCTGTCATTGTGAAATGCCAGATTTCCAGGACTTACTATGTGTAATAAAACCAAACCTTAGAATGTAAAATTTCATTAATTGTATAGGGATGACATATTCTGATGATCTATATGGTTATATTAAATAACATTTCAAATGGTTCAATTTGTGGTTGACATCCTTCCCTCAGACAGTGCTAGCACATCCCCTGCTTGATTAGAGGAGGAAAATGAGGTTTCAATAAAGGCAACTTCTCCAAGGCCACCCACTTTTACAGTCTGAATTTTGAGGCCTACATGACTGTCAAGCTTGTGCTCTCATCCCTGTCTCATGCCTTGATACCTCTGGATGAATTTTTATTGATGGGCTCAGTGTCATCTCTCCC